ACATTTATATAGATGTTAAACTGGATTAAGAAGCCAATAATTAATTCAGATGTCGTTAAATTTTGAACATGTAAGGCCATTATGCATTTAGCAGCAAAAGCCAGAAAACTATTTAGTAGTGCCACGTACACCAGGCCCACATGTGACTTCAGGACTTATTTGACAAAGTGCAATAAAAAATGTGCCCTAGTGAATTTATTACTTAACAATGGCCATTGTAGATTAGATCGAGAAGGAATTCGAAATGGAAGAAAGATTAGAAACCTTCCAGTTAGTCAGGGCTTGCCGTTTGTGCTCGTAAGTTGAAAAATGTCGGAGCACATTAAAAACTTTAGAGCTGCAATGCAAATGCAGTGGATTTTTTAAATGTGTTTAAGAGGATATAAAGAGATATTATTAGAAGAATTCAAAACAATGTTTTCAATAATCATATAATTATTTAATCCTACTTTAAACTGTAAATAGGCATGTGACGGTATCAGATATTAATTTAATAGTAACACGTATCAAATTAGGTTAGAATAAAGTGTTATCCTCCTAACAAGTTTAATACATTGTTTCTTAAAATAAAAAGAAAATCTGAACCTTTAAATAAATAATAAAACAACACACACACATAATGTATAAAGCAAACAAATATGTCAAACTAATTAAAGAACAATGGCTAACACTTTACAATAAGGCCCCAAGTTAATGCATTAAGATACAACTGTTCATTGTTTATGTTAGCTCAAGTCCTTTAAAGGGATAGTTCATTTAAAAATTAACTTTTGTTTTAGCTTACCTCAAGGGCATCCAAGATGTAGGTGTCTTAGTTTCCGTTTCAATATTGATGTTTTTAGGTCAAACCATTCTTGTCTGTCAGTCATATAATGGAGGTCTATGGTCACCACCTCAAAGAGCATGCACAGAGAAGTCCAAATTAATGATTTAATGACTCGTAAATATAAGTACTGATGCCCTAAGACACGAAATGAGCAGTTTGTGTGAGAAAACGAACAGTATCGTTTTAACTCTTGTAACCACAGCCACAAGGCTATGATTACAAGAGGTAAAAACGATATAAATGCTGTTCGTTTTCTCACACAAACCGCTCGTTTCGTGTCTTAGGCCATCAATGTGTACTTACATTTACGAGTCATTAAATCATGTTTAATTTGGACTTCTCTGTGCATGCTCTTTGAGGTGGTGACCATAGACCTGCATTATATAAAAATATCAAAATTGAAACTGACCAAAATTGACACCTACATCTTGGATGCCCTTGATGTGTGTTTGCAGTAAGAAAAGCTTCTTCAAAAAAAAATTCTCCAGATTATTTTGATTCCAGAAATAATTGCATGCATTGTCTTTGACGATATCAAGTAATCTGTAATTTTGCGTTTTCCAGTGTTTATATAATCTGATGTGGATTGTATGAATACAAAGCTGCTGATTTGGCGCTAAGGGTTTTGTTGTACATACAAAAGGATCCGTGTTTGCTTGTCACGAGGGCCTCGCAGGATGATAAGCAAAAGAATGGACAGAGGATTCGCATTTACTGATAAGGACATCAGTTATTGGTCTGTGTTTGCTTGTCAAGAGGGCATTGGCGGATGATAAGCAAAAGGCATGCCGTATGCGCAAGTCAGTCTTTATCTGTGAGAAACAGTGTAACTTGCATTAGTCTATGAGCAAATTTTAGACCGGTCTAAAATAGCTTTGTGAAGCCAGCTCCAGATCTTTGAGTGACAGGCTGACGACACATGCCAAGCAGCTTCAACAAACTGATGATAATTAAAAAAAAAAAACAGAAGGACAGACATCCCTTCCCTGGTGGGCACCACAAGTGTGGCAACTACAATGATCACTCTAGAGACTGCTTCAAAATTGGTTATTTCTTTATTATATTGACTTTATTCATCTTGGTTATTCCCTGGTCTCAGTTCTTTATGATTAGGCGGCCATGATGGACAGAGGCCAATGGGCAAATTTGGTTACACCCATAATATTTTCCCGAAGGACACCCTGGGATTTTTAATGACCACAGAATCATAAAAAATTCCAAAGTCCATCCACCACAAACAGTATTATATGGTGGATAGTGTGACAGGCATGTGATAAGCTCAATTTTTAGATAAGCTCAAACATACAAATTTGACTTTTATTGTGACTACTTTCAAAGGCCGACATATGTCATCCAATTTTATGGGCCAATTTTATCTCGTTTCCATTTTAACGATATAACATTTGGTAAGCTATTACTGCTTTTGGGAAAAAAACTTTACATGTCTTATAGGGACTTGAAGCAACAATATTTGCACGCAAATGGACATGTTGGTCACCGCCAATTCAACCACTGGAACTGCTATTAGTATTAGTATTTTTAATGCTCTAAAATGTCTGTTCAGCCAAGACTAAACTGTTAAACCATTCAATTTTATTCAATGAAACTTGTTCATTTCATTCAAATATTACTGGATGTTCATTATACAAACACTACAGGCAAAAATGTTTTTATGTAGTGAAAAAATGGCATTTCTTAGTATTTGAAACTCAAAAGTTACTGTGTACATATCTTCAGCAGCATTTACATTTTATTCCTATTTCTCTATTTTGAATTTGATTTTTTTTCATATATCATGTTTCGATTTTAAACATTTTATTCATTAAAACATGTTTTTTTCCCCTCTACAGGCAGTGATATCAAGAGATATAAAAATACCTTCTGTAAAAACCTTCAACTCTAGTATCAACTAAATTTTGAACCTGGCTTTATCCAACTTCCAGATTTCTGTTTTGGAAAGTATGCAAAATAGTGCAAATGATGTGCCTCTGCATTAAACATAACATTTCAGAAAACTTGTATTACATTTTTTTTTTTTTTTTTTGCAATTCTTAATGAAATCAATCAACTGGGGAAGTGTTGTAATATCATTATTATACTTGAGCTGTGAACTCATAACTGATTGTTATAACTCAATTGAGTTATATACAATTAAATATAAAAATATATTTATATAAATTGAGTTATATTCAATAAATTGAATGGTTTTAATTAAGTTTCAGTTTCTTTTATACTTTTATTTCACAATACTCATAACAATGTATTAAAAAAACAGAGAAAAAAGAAAAAAGAGAGACAAAGACCAGAAGAACTGCGGCAACGTCTCGAAGGTAATGCCTGCCTGCCTGCAAAGCTACAGTACTGTGAAAAAGCACTTGTGTAAAAATGCTGTAAATGAGAATGTTTTCAAAAATAATGTCATAATCATAAATAGATTTTATTTATCAATTCAATTTTATTAGTTAACTATTATTAACTGTTATTAACTTTTAAAAGTTAACTAAATCAAATCAATAGGTGTTTGGTTAGTACTCTTTACGTTTAAAACTTTTTTTTGTTCAGGTATTGCACATCGTTTTTAGTTTTGCAGGTTGTTTCAAGTGTCTTTGGAAACGTTGTCGCGGTTCTTCTGGTATTTCCTGATATTTCCTACTGAGACACTACAATAAAATATATAAATTACTGGCTTAAAACCATTTCTTTGTGGCAAAAATACTAGTGTGCCTAAGACTTCTGCACAGTATATACTGTATATATATATATATATATATATACACACTGTAAAAAATATTTTCAAGATTTGTTATCACAACATATTTTCTTTTGTCAAATCAACTTTATAATAATTTATTTAGTTGAGATAACTTATTATTTTGAGTTTCTGATGATTAAATTAATCTCCTTCATTGTATTAACTCACTTTTTCCAATTCAAGCAACTTAAAATTTTAAGGCAACCCAGGTTACTTACATTTTTAAGTTAAACCAACAATATTTTTTTACAGTGTAGTAATCACAACATTTTTTCTTTTGTCATATCAACTTAAATCATTTATTTAGTTCAGATAACATATAATTTTGAGTTTCTGATGATTAAATCATTCTCCTTCATTGTATTAACTCAACATTTTAAGTTCATTGAACTGGAAAAAGTAAGGCAACCAGGTTACTTACTTTCTTAAGTTAAACCATCAATATTCTTTTTACATCACTATTTGAAATATTTCATCAATATTTTTCAACATTCAACAACTCAACATGGGAACTAGTGGATACACACAAAAAGGGAACTAGTGGGTACACACAAAATGGGAACTAGTAGATACACACAAAATGGGAACTAGTGGGTACACTCAACATGGGAACTAGTGGGTACACATAAAATGTTCTCGCACGCTTATGTCTTACACAAAAGGGTTTATTGCAACCGAGAACACTGCTCCAGACCTGCCTAAAATGATGTCCAGATATTACCTCGTAAAATGTCTACGTCACAATGTGACATATTAGCATAAACCGCTTCGGGGTTCTATGTCAGAACCCCGGCTCAGTATTGGCCAGCTCTTGCGTCAGCATCACACGCATGTGTCGTGGTGCTCACCTGACCAGCGTCGGCCAATAGTGAGCCGGCGTTCTGACGTATAGGAGACTGATACAGAAGAGAAGAAATTGTTGAATAAAGTTGTTATTTCTGTTTACTTTTGCACAAAAAGTCACTTCATGACATTAAGGTTGAACCACTGTTGTCACATGGACTATTTTAAAGATGTCTTTATTACCTTTCTGGGCCTTGAAAGTGGTTGTTGCGTTGCTGTCGTTGGAGTGAACAGAAAGCTCTCGGATTTCATCAAAAAGATCTTAATTTGTGTCCCGAAGACGAACGAAGGTCTTACAGGTTTCGAATGACACGAGCGTGAGAAATTATGTGCTTCTGAAAATTGATTTTTGGGTGAACGAACCCTTTATCTAATAACTTATATAAGTGACACAACTATACTACTACACAACACTGTCCTTCATGACATTGATATGAGGACATTTCCATATCACATAGCAGAAGATTAAACATTAAACCATAAAATGCTCTGCAATATGTAAATTAATGTTGAATTTGAATAAATTAGTTAATATATATATTATATATATATAGAGAGAGATAAAGTAGAACACAGCTGTTTTAGTAAGACACTCAGGTGTTTTATTCATTCAAATTAGATTCAAATGTTACGTACATTTACATAACAGCAACACAAACTGATTAAAAAATCTGTTTAAAATTGAAACTGAAATCCGTTTTAAAAATGAGCCCTGTCAATGCGATCCTGGTTGACGTGCGACGAGCTCTTTTTCTTCAGCTTCAGAATGTACTCGGCAAACTCTCGAACGGCTCCGTGGCCGGCGGGTCTCTGACAGGTGTATTTCGCTGCGATGAGATCTGCCACAGGTGCGTCACATGGGACGGCATTCAGCCCCACCTGAGACAGGATCTCTACGTCTTCAGCTTCTGAACCTGTGAGAGAAAGCCTCACCTCAATGAATAATTTGATTATTTTGCATGTGGTTCCAGGTTCTGTTCGGTTCTGTTGACATAAACCGAATCAACACTAAACTGAGTTGAATAATGACAAAAGAATTTGAAGCAGTCTCATATTTGAAGTCTTCCTCACTGACTCTGGTATTTTCCTGTTTATTACTGTGGAGCTGCTTTGAAACAATCTGTTTTGCATATAAAGTGCTACATAAATAAATTAAACTTGACATGCTTAAAACTGGATTTTTAAAGTGACACTCTCACCCATGAAGGCCACTTCATCCCAGCGTAGTTTCCTCTTTTCCATCAGCCGCTTCACATCAAGCCCTTTCTGCTGGTCTACAATCCCGAGGACACATCCGACCCGCTGGGACACTTTCTCCAGGAGAGCCCTGGACAGCAGCTCGTTCACGCTGGATATGAGGATCACCTGATGAAAGTTAGGAAACATCAAATCAAAATGATCCATTTACTCTCTTAATACATGTTCTTCTGCTCTTAATGTTGCATGCTATTGACAATAATAAAGTGGTTTGTGAATGGCCATAGGTGCAGCTACTCTATAAAAAAGGGAAATTAACAGAAGCTGTGGTTCCCAGAATTCTCTTTTCTTTTTACAGTGTATGGTATCCCATTTATACACATACACTTAATATAATTTGTATAAAAATCACTGCTACAAATACGTGGATGGAAACATACCACTGTAAATTATGTTTTTACATCCAAAGTCAGTACATTTGACAATATTTGTAAAATTATACTTAAAATGTCCTGTTATATTTACAGTTTTTACTATAGTAAGGGAACTTCCCATTAATAAATGAGGTGTTTATTTACCATAGTATTTTTACAGTATTTTACTGCTAAAATGATTTTATGTCCCATTATCAGCCAACACAACTGTACCTCTATATCTTCTCTCTTTAGCATCTGTACGCCTGCCACGTCTCGAGCATTAATGGCCACAAGATCCTCTCCAGAAACCGACGTGTATATCTGACTGCTGGTCAAACATCCAGACACTTTACACAGAAACAGCCTGACCGCCGCTTTCTCCTCTCGGCCGAAGTAGCCAAACCTGCAAAAACGGCCAGCAATTATATATGCATTATTGTGTTTTGCCACAAACAGAGTTTGATGAAATAGCCACCTCAGAACTCTCTGCTCAGCGACAGGCCAGTCGATGTCCACGTCGATGTCAACGCTGTGCTCCGGCAGCATTTCATAGTACGCGATCTTGCCCAGCTAAATCACACAGAACAGATCAAAATAACTGCGTTTATAGATCATGAGCTCTTATGGAGAGGTTTCAAACATGCACATTTTTGCTTCCTAAAATGAGATAAAGTAACAATTTTTTGACAACAGTTTGTAACAAATTAATCGAATTGTGTTCAATCAACCCTAATATATTTAAGACTGATGTGTACTTAATTCATTTGTGTTAAAACTGCATTGTTTACAACTAACTGTGGAGTTCCCAGCAAGCTTTACAAGAGAGTAAATTTAAGGATTAAGTGTTATTTTAGGTGTTTTTCAGTAAAGGGAAATATGTTGTTAATGTTAGTGTTTAATGGACAACATAGCTGTTGGACATTTAGAGGATTTTTAAAAAAATGTTGCGGTCACTTATAATTAATTTACCAATTAAATTTTTTTTATTTTAAGTTTGACAAGCAAAAAAAGTAATTTAAAAAAATGAATCAATGTCATTTAAACTGTATTTTACCAAATTAAGTTGACCCAACTCAATTACATTTCATTACCTGAATTTGTTTTTTTTAACTATGCTGTATAGCTGTGTTTTCCGGTGTGATGGTTGTCGAAATCAAAAATTTAATTATTTTTAATTATTAAAAAAATGCCATTATTGTATATGAAAAAGTTAATAATTGTATTTTATGAAAATAAATATTTTGGTTTGACTTTTTAAGCATTTTAAGCTGTCGTTTGATGATGTTACAATGTGCCCAATACCTGTTACAATACCTGGGGCATGTATGTTATCACATTTCACATCACATTTCCACATTTCAGGGTAAATGAAGAAAAAAGTATACACTGCATTAATAAAACAGAATCAAATAATTGTACTAGACATGTGGGAAATTAAATGCGGGGAAAAATAAATACTCTAAACCCTTAGTAGATTTACACAAACTGAGAAAGTCAAAAAGCGTTAGGTTGTGCCCCGCTCTCCCCTATTTGTTGGATGTATATCCTGCCTTCAATTAAATTGAGTTTGTCTAATGAGTTATTTTTTTTTTAGTTTGGGACATTCTGGAAAATGTTGAGTTCACTTTGTTTTTCTCTCATAAAAGGTGATGGGAAGTATTTATGAACATCTTGACATTTGACTTTAGAACTTTATTTTAGTTTGTTTCACAAATTAAGGACTGGTTGTGATATCAGTGATTATTTAATATTTTTCTAAAATGGTGTCAAATTCATCTAAAAATACTTACCTCTGTTCAAACAAAATTAACAAATTGCAAATAAAATAAAATAAAATTGTAAATCTCAAAAAAAATCTTAAATGCGAACATTAAAACATTGTATAATGTGAACACTGAAAAAAAACAAACTTTAAACACACACTTTTTTGGTGCCTTTTCTTACCCAGAACTTAGAAACACTTTTTATTTCAACATTTCTGAAAATTTTTTCTTTTACTTTTTGAATTTTCAATGATATTAATCCTCAACACATCAATGACAAAAAATATTGTATATTATTCATTGTTTATTTAGATTTTTTTCCCATTTGGATTTTGGATTAACTTTAACCTCGGACAAAATATATAAAAAATAAATTAAATAACTTCAAATCTCATAAGTGGTGTACCAGAAGAAAGGGTAAGGAGCATTTCGGGGACTTGAAAAAAATGTCTAAAACAATATAGATTCAGCCTATTTTAAATGAACAAATAGTTCATTTTTAATTATTTTAATATTTGCATTACCTAACTGTGCTATAAAATTTAGTCTTTTATTTAAATATTTTTCATGACCAAGAAGTCAAGGAACAGGTTTTTCACCATATTTTGAAAACTCCCACCTGTGTAAGGCCATTTTCCAGGTCCTTTCTCTTATAAAAGTAGAAAGAGCCATTTTCATAGAGTTCCCCAGGCCAGTCTTGGCGTCGAGGTCTGTGCGCCACATCGATGTTCGGCGAAGTCGGATTCTTACCCACTAATTACAACGAAAGATAGTGAAGAACATAGTGAAGGAAGCAGGAGAGTAGTTCCATCTAAACTACCTGTCACTAAACAATTGTTTCCTTATGGGAGTTTGTGATACTGTACCTTTCTTGTCCACCTCTTCCCACCGAAACTGGTGTCTGCGCACCACTGAAAACACATAGTCATACCCCTGTCCCGTGATCATCTGTAGGGCTTCTCTGATATGATGAGGGTGCAGACATGGAGACGTAGCCTGAATATGACAGACGATGTCCACCTCTAAAACACAGAGACAAAACAAATGACAAATAGAATAAAGATGGAGGCCTTTTTGGCATGTAAACAGATTTGGTAACACTTTGCAATAAGGTTTCAATAATTAACATGAACTAAGAATGAACAATACTTTTACAGCATTTATTGATATTAGTTAATGCACTGTAAACTAACATTTATTATCGAACATTAACAAAGATTGTAAAAAATGTTGGTAACACTTTATTTTGCAGTGTCCTTGTTACATTTTAGATGTATAGTAATAACTAAATTATGCATAATTACATGCAACTAACCCTACAACAAACCTAATTCTAACCCTAACCCTTTAGTCAGTATTACACTTTCAGCTTCCTAAAAATATTTACATATTTACATGGAAAATTACTTTGTAATTTTTTTTTATTAAAAGTACATAAATATACAAGTTCAAATTATGAAATGCTTAACAGCAAGGTTTTTTACTCAGGCACACAAACACAGTGTGTTATCATTTTATTTGGACTTTGACATACTATTTTTTACTGTACAAACTGCACACACACACACACACACACACACACACACACACACACACACACACATTATTAGCTTGTATTTTATCTCCTACATTCCTCAGTTCAAAACACATGCAGGAAAATTATAGCATTAGGTAAATGACAAAACATGAAATTTTAATCTCATAAAATGCTCTACAAGTCATAGGCTACTTGCGATGTAAAACCTCAAAATATGTCAGGAAGTTCTCAATTTTTTGGCATAAAATGAAAGTAAGATGATGAAGGAATGTCTCACCGGGTCTCAGTCGGATGAACTCCTGGATAGTCTCCAGAGAGCTGGAATAATCGTTGGAAACTTCAGGACTGCGACGATGAACTTTCGCACCCCAGACTTTTGCGACCCGTTCAATTTCGTCATGATCTGTGGAAACCCACACGCTGACACACAAAAGGCAAATTATAAAAGACAAATTTACTTACAAAAGACAAATTAAGACTAAAAGCCATATTTTAATAGCCTACTAAATGCGTAAATAGACGTGCGGCCAATAGCCTATTTCATTTACTTCCCAGTTCAATTTGGTTTAATAGCCTACAAAATAATGAAAAGTATAGCCTAATGAAAAACAATAACAGCAAAACGCATTAAAGCGATACTATTAAAACAGTAAAGAAAGGCTCAAATATAGTTGCCTGTCAACGACTCCTGAGTCCAAGGCGGCTCTCAGAACCCATCCGATGAGAGGAACACCGGCCAGATTCTTGATGTTCTTCAGAGGGATTCCTTTACTGCCACCCCGGGCCAGAATCAGAGCCGCCCGGTGAGGGAGTCCAGAGGACGGGGAAGCGACACCCGAGCTCACCTGAGCCTGTGGCTGAGCCTGAGCGCACCTGTGGCTCTCCATCGCCCTGAGGTGCAGTGAGGGATTGAGAAGTGAGATAGCCTACACGGGATGCAGACTGGCAATAGCCTAATAATAGTTGTATATATTCACTAGATTGTTTGATTATTTAATTTATATTTATATTAATTTTATATGCTAAACGATCAGAGTCGTTACAGCGCTTGATGTAAAACGAGAAAGTCTTCATCTGCCATATATTCATCACTCCAGTGCTATTTTCACATATCTCGTATCACTCCGCGATCTTTAACTTAAAGCGGACACGTTGATACGTTACAACATGTCTTGTGTTTTAAAACTGTCGTCAGAGTAAACATACCAATGATGTATAGAAATTGAAGACTATCAGATAAAGCAAAAGAAAAAAAAAGGAAAGAAAACATCGGAAACAAACCTGTAGCAAAACTGACACAAAAAGCGGAATGGGAGCGAACTTGTAATATAAGACAAGTAACTTGTATAATAATCAACATTGTTACTAAATCTATTTTACTTGCCTAGTTAATTAATAATAATAATAATAATAGTTTAAACTAATATTGTAGCCTAATTGTTGCAGTGTTGTGATGGACTATTTTTCGTAGCGGAAGCTTTAAGATAATAATCATGTAACGCCTGCGGCCATATAATTATCAGAAATGGAAAAGTTAGTTGATTATCTAAAAATCATTTAAAAAACGTTTCAATATATTATCGATATGGTCAAAAAAACAATATGAAATTCTGATCTACCCATCTATCTCTCAAGAGAAGGACATCATTTGTTTCATTTATAGCTATTTTCCTCTCTCACCACACGAGAGCAGCAGTGTCACAGTTTTTGCTTAATCAAAACAGAACAGTGTTTATGTGCCTGAAATAAAACTGATTTACAGTATATAATCAATTAACCGTGCTTTTGCCCCTATTATTTTACTGCATTTCCTTCAATTGTGAGTACCATTACTATTTTTACTTTCACATGAAACACCCTCCATTTATTGGTGGATTATTTAAGTTATTCATATAGTTATTAACACATTAAGTTCTTGCTTTGCATGTTCACAAGGTTTACAAAGTCCCCTATAGATGCATGCACAAATAACAGATGCAAATGTTTAATTATGAATCCCATCACACATATTTTGCACACTTTTGTTCAATAGCCTATGTAAATCAATAACAACAGGTTTAAGTAAAAGTAATAGCCATACTCTCAGAAAGCACAGAATTGAAATTCTGCTAGTTTTAGTTATTGACTAAATAAAGGAGGCTGTTCTTCAAGAGGAGCTCTCATCACATCAGGGCTGTTTCTGATGGGAAAGAGGATCAGTGTCAGGCCGTGGCCTTCACACTCTCCTCTGATGTAAACTTCAGGTAACACCAGCTTTGTTTTTATCTATCAGACTCTATCACAACAAGTGTTTGCCGTCCATTCTATCTCCCTCTCCAAACACTTTTGTCGCAAAACCAATCAGTTTCACACGGTGGTTCGTGATCAGATAGCGCCAAGCAATTTATTTAGAGCAAACTGTCCGCCACACATTTCAGTGCTACGCCCTTCAGTTCCATGAAAGCAATTTATTAGCTGCCAACACAAGAGAATCAGTAGCTTTTAAGAGGTAAAGGAAGATGTGAATCTTCTTATGGCCACAGATTTAATATCCGCCATGACGTAGGAGCAGATGATGGGGTGAGTCCACACTAGACCTTTCTGACACAATACGTTGCAAGATATAGGCTTCACTTGCAATGGAGATGCAACATTTCCTGCCAATGTTTTTCAGCTCTGACAAAAAATTGTGACAGTCCTCTTTTCTAAAGGACAAAAGATAAACACACCCTCTGTGGAAGGCACAGTTAGTGGACTATGTAATCTTGGACACCGTTTTGTATCTAAAAACTGCAACTTGCATTGAATTGCATTGCATAAAATAATAAATAAAAGAAAATTATTAAAAAGAAAATTTAAATAAAAAAATAATGAATAGAAAAAAAAATAATACAATTAAATAAAATGAAAGTAAATGAAAAATACAATAAATTAAAAAATAAAAATTAAATGTAAATGCTGCATAGGCTACCACACAATTGAGTGATCTGAAGGGGCAACTTTGGACACTTATTTGTATCTACACTAATAGTTTCATACAAATTAAAAAAAATATGAGCAAGATCTCCAAAATATGATCTCCTCTGGTCTTATGTTCTATCATTGTCGCTCAAATCTCCAACTTTTATAAAATGCAGACAGAACTCTCAAATACAATCAACAAATCTGTCAAAGTCACAATGTCAGATCTGCAGCAACAGAACAGCGTTCAGCGAGAATAGAAATTCATGTTGAATTTACGTCTGATTATTTGGATTCGAACGTGCAAAAATCATAACTCAACCTCATTTCAGAAAATACCTCTGCACTCCTTCCTAATATTTCATTTTTTCGAGTTTTCCGTTTAGTCTCAGGATACTTCATATTGGTTATTTTCTCAGATTGGATGATAAATGATATATTCTGTTAAAAGATTTGATAGTGATTTTTTTTTGTCTAGCAGACGCACATATGTATATCAGTCAAGACGTTTTGTATAAGTGCCATCTGAGTGACACCGAATTTAGCTGAACAAACATCTCTGTGGGGAACTTTCCAGAGCTTTGGTGGTGGGCGAGAAACTGTGAGAAATTTGTATTGTGAGACACCAGTTGCTAAGGCACTCGGGAAGAGTCGACATCCATCTGTGTGGATGTGTATTTATATCACACATGAATAATTTGCTGAAAGAGAAGGAAATGGAGAGATTTCTGAAGCACTGGACTGTCGAATTAGCATATGTGTGTCAAAATATAAAACATTTAATAAACTCATTCCGCCAGCACTTTTATGAAGAATACCAGAAGCGAGATGTAGAAATATAATTAGGAGAAACTATAATAAAAGTCGATTTGGGCATAAACAAAAATATACAGAAACAGTGGTACAGTTACAGTAGCCATTTGTTCAGCTTTTAAAATGTGAACAATTGCAGACTCGCATGAACGCTTAATGGTGGTTGAACACCAAATTTTGGATCAGCCACACCATGACCTCTGACCCCTGTGATGTCATTTCATTAGGATCGATAATAGGTCACCCGTTAATCTTGATTATGTGTTTGCTAACCTCAGGGTCACCCCAAACAAATATAGATTTCTCTATTGACTAATATAATACAAAGAAAAATACATTAAAATGTGTCAATAAAAAAATATATAACACCTAAAAAATTACAAAATAAAAAAGTAAAAAATAAAATTATAATAATAAAAGTCGATTTTAAGAGGTAGACATGTATAATTCAAAATATATTAAACCGTGTCAATAAAAAAAATAATTAGATTTTACAAATATATAACACCTAAAAAAATTATAATAAAAAGTAAAATTATAATAATAAAAGCCGATTTTAAGAGGTAGGCATAAACAAAAATAAACTTAAATAATACATATATAATTCAAAATACATTAAAATGTGTCAATAAAAAAATAAATAGACTTTACAAATATATAACATCTAAAAAATTAAAATTAAAAAGTAAAATTATAATAGTGAAAGCCGATTTTAAGAGGTAGGCATAAACAAAAATAAACTTATATAATACATATATAATTAAAAATACATTAAAATGTGTCAAAATAGATTTTACAAATATATAACACCTAAAAAAATATAATAAAAAAGTAAAAAGTAAAATTATAATAATAAAAGTCCATTTTAAGAAGTAGGCATAAACAAAAATAAACTTATATAATACATATATAATTCAAAATACATTAAAACGTGTCAATAAAAAATTAAATAGATTTAACAAATATATAACACCTAAAAAATTATAATAAAAAAGTAAAATTATGATAATAAAAGCCGATTTTAAGAGGAAGGCATAAACAAAAATAAACTTATATAATACATATATAACTCAAAATACATTAAAACGTGTCAATAAAAAAATAAATACATTTTACAAATATATAACACCTAAAAAAATTATAATAAAAAGTAAAAAGTAAAATTATAATAAAAAACTGAAAAAAGATTAGCTTGCAGAACCCCCAAATTAATGTTGAATCAACATAAATATATTATAAATTTGATATAGAATTTTGTTTAATGCAATCTTTTCACCAAGTACTTTGAAGGCCAGTAACACAGATATCAACATCACACAGATACCTTTATTAAATACCTGTATAATAATAGTAAACAAAAAAATAAAAATAAAAGTTTGAATATCAAATCATCATATTAGAATAATTTATTCTATTTATAATTTCATAATTTATCATGTGACACTGAAGACTGGAGTAATGATGCTGAAAAATCCAGCTTTAAATCACAGGAATAAAATTACATTTAAAAATATATTCATATGGAAAAAAAAATATTCCATATTCCAGTATGGAAAATTGTAAATATTTTTACCGTAGTTTTTGATCAAATAACTGCGTCTTTTGTGAGGAGAAAAGAAACATTGAAACCTTATTTGTACATTAAAACTACAAAGTATGTTATTAGACATTTTACAACAAATACATGATGTATATAAAACTTGAATAATAAAAGTAATGTGTATATCCTCATCAACACACTGAAACCATTATAAAATACATATTTTTTCCAATTCCTTGGATAAAATTAGCAATTTACTTATTCATCATTATATTTAAAAAGTCATAATGTTTAACATATAACTGTTTAATAAAATGTTCAATCTCGTGTATATTGACCAATTATATTTTCGGTCCAAAAGTGCACAGATTGATCTGGAGGCCTCAGATCACGCTTGTGTTTAATTGGACTGGGGTTTCGGTTTGCTCTGGGGCCGAACTGGCAAATGCATCCCGCCGATGAGTCCAAGTCAACAATAACACAAAATGACATTTGCCAGCGTGGATCCTGTTACCAAGACTTTCAGTGACAGAAGTAGACAAAGGTGTTGTTGTTTTTAATCATGTTGAAGACGCTCTAGTCCTCTCGTTAGAAACAGAACAGGCGGAGTGAGAGGATGCGGCGGTCGCACTTTATTTCACAGTCCAGTTCCACATGTGCATACTATGAACATATTACTGGGTAATAACTATACTATCCCTGAACCTACACCTAAACCTAACCTAACCCATGTAGTTAACTTATATTAACCAGTACATTCTTAGGTAAGCACACTGTAAGTACTAGTACTGTAAAATAAAGTGCAACCGAAGGGCAAAAACATCCTCTCAGCATGGACAAAAGGCCATAAATTGATAAAAAGATGTTTTTGAAGAAGTATCCTGAGCAAAACACCCTACACTCTAATAATCTAAAGAACCATTTTCCATCATAAAGAACCTTTTGTGGAATGGAAAGATTGTTAAAGGTTCTGCCTCCGTGCCAATAAAGAACCTGGTCCCACTTTATATCAGGTGTCTTCAACTACTATACAGTAGCCTATTGATCTTTTGATTCAATGCACTTATTATACATTCATGTTTGTAAAATGTACTGATATTTTAAAAAATATTACTAATACATCAATATATACAGTTTGTCCTTACCCTTTCCCACTTCAATAGCAGCAAAGGTGTGTTGCAATACAACATCAACACAATAACATTGTACTTATTTTTTGATTAGTTAAGGACACCAAATATAAAGTGTGACCAAGAAGCTTTATTTTTTCTAAGAGAGAATATAATCACAAGCCACCTCTAGAGCTTCAGAAGAGAGTCACACACGGTGCTCACGTACCAAAATCTGACACACACTCCGTGGCCTTTTTTCAGAGGATCCCAAAAATCCAGCAACCATGACTCAGGCGGCAAAGGAGGATTTCCAGTTATTAAGGGCAGATGTGCTGTTCTGGCAGGCGTGGGTTTTCATGGCTGGGAAAAAGAAAACTGCAGATTAATACTTTAAATTTCACATCAAAAATCTGTTCACACACGTCTGGCTAATCAAAACTCTGGATCTGAAGCCGCTTGTCCTGCAGATCTGGTGTTCATTCGAGCAGAACCGCACGGCAGCGTTCAGATCTGGCTTTTTAATCCTGTTACAGAGACAGACGGCGCGAAGAGACACAATCCAGAGATGTCCATCTCCTCCTCTCAGAGCCTGCCATTGAGTTCTGATGGCTGAAGGCTTCGCTCACTCGTTTATGCAGATTTTTTTCGCTCTGCCTCTGTATTGTTGGTGTCCAAGATTGAAACCTGTTCCTCATCTCTACCTCATAGCCATCTATACATCATCTATATATCCACCCATATATCCATCTATACATCCATCCATATATCCAACTATACATTCATCTATATATCCATCCATATATCCATCCATATATCCATCTATACATTCATCTATATATCCATCTATATATCCATCCATATATCCAACCATACATTCATCTATATATCCATCCATATATCCATCCATATATCCAACTATACATTCATATATCCATCCATATATCCATCCATATATCCAACTATACATTCATCTATATATCCATCCATATATCCATCCATATATCCATCTATACATTCATCTATATATCCATCTATATATCCATCCATATATCCATCTATATATCCATCCATATATCCAACCATACATTCATCTATATATCCATCCATATATCCATCCATATATCCATCTATACATCCAACTATCTATCCATCCATATATCCATGTATATATATCTATCTATAGATCCATCCATAAATCCATCCATATATCCAGCTATATATCCATCTATACATCCAACTATATATCCATCCATATATCCATCTATATATCAATCCATATATCTAACTATATATCCACCCATATATCAATCCATATATCCATCTATACATCCATCCATATATCCAACTATACATTCATCTATATATCCATCCATATATCCATCCATATATCCATCTATACATTCATCTATATATCCATCTATATATCCATCCATATATCCAACCATACATTCATCTATATATCCATCCATATATCCATCCATATATCCATCTATACATTCATCTATATATCCATCTATATATCCATCCATATATCCATCTATATATCCATCCATATATCCATCTATATATCCATCCATATATCCAACCATACATTCATCTATATATCCATCCATATATCCAATCTATACATCCATCCATATATCCAACTATACATTCATCTATATATCCATCCATATATCCACCCATATCAATCCATATATCCAACTATACATCCATCCATATATCCAACTATACATTCATCTATATATCCATCCATATATTCATCCATATATCCATCTATACATTCATCTATATATCCATCCATATATTCATCCATATATCCAACCATACATTCATCTATATATCCATCCATATATCCATCCATATATCCATCTATACATCCAACTATCTATCCATCCATATATCCATGTATATATATCTATCTATAGATCCATCCATAAATCCATCCATATATCCAGCTATATATCAATCCATATATCTAACTATATATCCATCCATATATCCATCTATATATCAATCCATATATCTAACTATATATCCATCCATATATCCATCCAGCTCATCACTGTCACTTTTTACCAAGCCGTCCAATCGTGGAGGAGGGACGGGACAAATACCACACCGACCAACTGTCAACATTCAAACTGCTGCGGATATTCTGTATCATAGCAATGAAACGTCTCAACGGAAAAAACGCTGCGCTGCCAAGCGCCCAATGCACTGCGTCTTCAGCAGAGCATCTAGGGTTTTCAGCTGGCTAAAAATGCTTTGGTGGACACACGGCCTAACATTAGAATGCAGTGTTTGAATCAAATCCATAGTCAAGGCTGTAGCATTTTGACCTTCTTGACCTGTGTGCTAAAGCAATGCTAATGTTACTGAATAAACAATGAATATTGAATTTCAAAAAGTCTTTGAATAAAGTTCAAGCTCAAAGTTGCTTTCTCAAGGTTTTGGCTCAAAAAAATATGCCAAAAATCCCTTGACTTTAAAGTCTTTAATGTCTCAGGTGTTTCTCTACACATACAGTAAATTACTTTTTTTTTCACAAGAAAATTATTTTAGTATCACAGTTTTTTTTATTTACTGCTGATTGTGATTACAAGAAATAAAACAGTATTAATGCATGGCCTCTTTAACTTAAAGTAACTGAATTCATTCATTTTCTTTAGGGAAAAACTTTACTAACATCAAAAACAACAACAATGAGCTCCAAAGATATTAAAATGCATCATACAAGAAGTTTAGAAGTTTATGGTCGGTAACATTTCTTATTATTTTATGTTGAAAACAGCCGCTTCATATTTTTGTGGAAACTGTGATATATGTTTATTTACAGGGTTCTTCTATGAGTAAACTTGAGTAGAAAGAAATCGAAATCTTTTGTGACATTATAAATGTCTTCAGAGTCAATTACATTATTTGAATGTGTGCTGAATAAAGTATTAAACAAAATCTCACATTTTAGAAGCTATTACTCTGAGATTTCAACTTTTAATTCAACCCACAGTCAAGAAATGTTGTTACCAGAGGATTGCAATTAAGTTTCCAAAGTCCTCACTGTACTCTATGTACAAGTAAAGGCACCACTGGTTTTCACACAATAGCCGTCTGCTAGTTATATCAGCTGAGATAAAGCTGTTGTTATTATCAAATCTATTCGTGACGGTGCGACACATGAGTGATGTGGCAGCGCGAGTGCGACCCGCTTGCACACCTCTTAAGATAATGAGCTCTGGGAATTCACATGCTTCTGATTAACCACAGTCCACAGCACAGCAGATGCTTGATCAAAGACTCACTCCAGCCAATCACAGGGCGGCAAGCCTGCCCTCAGCCAATCAGAGCCTTCCACAGAACAGGTATTCCAAGGCAGAGATTCTCCTGAGACACTCTGGCCCTAATTAAAGCCCAAATCAATTTGACTGTTTTTTTTTTTAATTACCCAGAAAGCTTGTATTTATGCTTTGTTAATTCACGTGTTTTATCGTTTAAATCACAATTGAGACAATGTGAAGAGGAGCAATATAAAATTCCTCTTGACATCTGACCCACTCCTGTCAAGTCAAGCCATATCTTCAACCTCATTTATAAATAGAGAGGAGATTAGACATTAGAAACCAACCACATTAAAATTTCTGACAGCTGAGCGCTTTGACTGCACCTCCACAATGACCATCTCAACAACTGTGTGATTTATTTTGGTCATTTCAAACCCTGAAAGACTGAAATGGTATTTTCTTGTAAAACATACTTCAATAATCCAATAATTATTAGGATTTTTTTACATTGTTCAACAATACATTTTTCCAGACGGTGAATTTTAAAAAACTGACAACTGAAATAAAGATGAAATAAAATTATTTAATAAATATTAGAAAAGAATGCTGCATTGTTAACAAACTAAAATAAGTCAAAATACTACTAAAAATTACATGAAAATAAATTGATGCCAAATACACACTATAGAAAAATTAAAAAGCACAAAATTAAAACTTAAACTAAAGTCCTGAAAATAAAAACAAAAAAATATAAAAAAGCTAATATATATATATATATATATATATATATATATATATATATATATATATATGTGTGTGTGTGTGTGTGTATAATGTATATAAATACTAAAAAATTAAAAAATAAAAATAAAAAAATTTAAATTTAAATGTTACATTTTTTTTTAAAAAAATTTGCACATATGGTTTTATAGCTGAGTGAATGGATATACGCATGTACTGTTATTAAACTTTTAATTTATACCAATAATCTGATAACTGTTTTCATGTCATATAACCAATAAAAGGCAAATAATAAGTTAATATTCTTCTATATTTTGTCTAAATAAATGAAAAATAAAACTTTAAAAACTACAAATCAGTCATTAAACCAGAAATAATAAATAAAATAAAATGTAATTCCCAACATGAACGAAAACTATAACAGTGGTATATTCAAATCACCCGTTTTACACAATAATATTATAATATTTATAACATTAACTACAACAAAATTGCGATAAATGGTGTTTTCTTTCTTTCTTAAATAAATAGCTTCAATAGCTTGTAGAGTGTTTAACTATTTTTTCAAAAGGGTATAGCTTGATAGTAGTCAAACCACTTTAACATGATTATTAACTTGTGGTTCGGCATGCCAGTTTCAAAGTAGCTCTGAGCCGGAGAATCAGCCATGATTTCAGATGAACAATATCAAAAAGGCAGCTCTTATTTTATTTTATGACAGAGCTGAAGTTTAACAGATAAAAGGCCATTGTGCTGTAGAGCTCAGGTTTATGCAGCTGGTCTCCGGAAAGATCAAGTCGAGCGCAGCACAGAGCACTAATGCCCCTCAGATGGGCCACCGGACACACAGGGAAGCCACTGCTGTGCACCACTGACTCCAAACACTGGAATTCACCGGATTTTACGGTCAAGACAACATTGGAATGACATTCGCAAGACATATTGCGGCATTTCAGAGGATATTCAGCATAAAATAATCATGGGTAGTACTTGACTTTATAAAATCAGTTTTGACATTGATGGAAAAATCTGCGATATCATTGGTTGATACAAATGTTCCCCATTTATGCAGCTTTTCACTAGCCTGGGAAACGTCAGACCCATCGACATTGACACGTGGGATCCACGTTCATTTTCTCGTATTTGAGGCGTGGTTTATGAATGCCCAGAGCTGTTTATTGGGTGCTACGAATTTCTTTCAAATGCGCCTGTACGTAGCCAATCGTTTCAATTATACCAGATGACATATAGAGCGAACGAAATTAGACGAGGAAGATGATTCGAGATTTATTTGCATTCTAAACTACTTATACAGTATGCGTTTTTCGTTTTCGTCAGCCTAAAAATTCGTCTCGCACAGAAACCTTGCACACTGAGCCTGATGCGTATTTATTAAACCTTTGCAGAAAAAAAAACGCACACAAAAATACAAAATGGATTCGTCAAGCAGTGAGGATGATTTTGTTGCCCTCTCTCTTATTGAAAAGAGAAGAAAGAGAAAATATTGGGTCCATCCAATCCTGAAATTGCGCTGAGGAAGGAGTCGCGAATATATCACGAGGTAGTCAAAATATTTTTATATTTTTTTAATAAAATATCTGTATATTTTTTTAAGTCCATCAAAGTGCATCCATCTATGATAAAACTGCTCCACTGGGCTTCGGGGTTCAATAATGAAGCAAAGCGATGCGTTCGTGTGAGAAAAATATCCATATTTAAAACTTCGACTAGAATAACTAGCTTGCTTCTTTTCGGTCTTTGAGGGGGAATTAGGAAAAGTTTTGTACAACACATCTGTTTTATTATAATGAAAACTACTTGAACGCGTGTCATAATTACAATTTCCAAACTCATGAGTGGGAACTTTGGAGGACTTAACGGCTGTATTGATTGGATCTGCAGAAAGGGAAAAATCATTTCAAAGGCATGAGAAAGTTATTACATTTTGATAAAAGATAATGAAACCCATCTTCTTTTCCTCTTTAGAAAAAAAGTGCACTGATGAATCATGCACAATAAGACCTGGAGAGTTTCAATTTCATGTCATTTTTAGATACCTCCAACATTATATTCTAAATATTTAAAAAAAATATTCAATACCACCATATTTCAGAGAAAAAAAACACCACAGATTGAGTTCAAAAAAACAAAATGATTTGAAATAGTGGCCATTTTATTAAAAAAAATATATTTTGGTGAAACCCATCATGAAGTGTAAATCCATTAATGAGATCTCATGTGTTACCTTGGCGAATCTTTTAAAAAGCGCACCGGAATAATTCATTTCCCCGCTGTAGTTTCTGTAGATCTCACTATGTGTTTCACAGACTGAAGCAGAAGGAAAACTCACCTTTTACCAAAGATGGAGAAGAAAATTGGTCCCATGTCTCATACTTTATTAGGTTTTCACGTCCTTAGCAATGAACGGAGGTCAGCGGATGCTTGAACGCCAGGTTAGAGCTGGATTGACAGCATGGCTCTGGAGAAAACATGGTAACAGGAAATGGTGAATGTAGTGAGGTGGAAACCACATAAACACTCACACACAAACGTCTCCCACACAGCCTGTGGGATAACCAGACAAAGCTGTCTGACTAACCTAAATTGATGCACTCCTCTCTTCGGGGCGTCCTGTCAGTCTCGCCTAGATGTTCACTCGTTCACTAGATGAGTTTCAGGAAAAAGTGCATCATCTTCAAACTCCTGTAAGCACAGTCAGAACTGAATTCACCCCATAAAGCTCTGTTACTAAAGCAGTATCTCTGAATGGAGTGAGTACATTTTAAAGCTTTACAAGATGACACAAAGGCTTCTTGTGTTGCCTTATGTTGGTGGATGAGTATAATTATATCACTCCCCTGCCAAAAAAAAAGAGTCTGTTTGGATTTAAACAGGCAAATACTTAAGAGTCTGTGATTGGATCATTATTGCAGTGATTGTTATATGTTTGGTTCTTCTAATCCTAACTGATGGAGTGTGTACCTTTTCATCTCTTAAACAACCATGTAGGAAGACACATCATGGCCATATTCCAGGATGTCAATGTCAAGATTCATCAGGCTCAGATTGGGAAAGAATGGTTGTGAGGAGCTTGAAGAATCATTTTCACACATGAATCGTCTCAAATTCACTGAAAGTCTTTGGGATGTGCAGGAGGAGACTCTACAGAGCATGCATTATGAATACAAGATCTTGACCAAAAATTGATGCACCTCTTGATGGAAATAACATCACAACATTTATTTATCAAAAAAAAAAATGTGCATGCATTTTTGGTCAGGATCTTACATATATATATATATATATATATACACACACCATTTTGCAAGATGTAAACAACACTGGTCCAGAAACACTTCCTGTTTCGGTTTGTAACTGTTTTCTTTATTTCACATGTAAAGAAAACATCTTAAAGATGTTTGTTTAACTTTTTGATTCAGTTTTATATGTTCTGTTGGTTGTATTTTATCCCAGCTTTCATGTAGTGTTAAAAAACTGAAACAGGAAGTGCTTCTGGACCAGTTTTGTTTACATCTTGCAAAATGGTCTATATATATATATATATATATATATATATGCTGAATTCTTGTATTATATTTACTGTATATACACCAGCAGATTTGCACATTTACCACCCGAAAACACATGAAAAATATCCAGAGCTAAATACAGTCATAATATTAGACATACTTACGAAAAAGAAGTTTATTCAAGTGTGCCATTAGTATACTTCTCTTAAACTAAAAATAAGAAAGTATACTTTCAGTTTATTTTTCCTGTACTTCTCAGAAGTACTATATGTACTTCTCAGAAATATACTTCAAATTACACTTTAGTGTACTTGACTTATACTGAGAGAAAAGCAAGTATATTTGTCCTGTTCTTGTACTCAATCTTTTGATCCAGAAATACTTAAAAGTATAATTAAGTATTCAAAGTATACTTGTATAAGTATTACAGTAAAAAAGTAAACTACTAGTATACCCATAAATTTACTTGCAGTACACATGAGATACATAATTATGAACTAGTTGTGCACTTACTGTTACACTTAAACATATACTTTTATGTACTAAAAGTGGGCCAATTTAGTCCCAAGCGGTATTAAAATAGTACACTTACAAGTTTACTACTAGTACATAGTGACATTAGTATACTTACTACATAATGTATACTTAAAAATATACTTGAACATTACTTAAGTATACTACATAAAATGAACTTGAAATATACTTCTTTTTCACAAGGGTAGGCCTATTACCAAGTCACTATAGTCACCAAGTCACTTAGGCTTAAGTCTATACCAATATAACGACATTGTTTGGACGAAACAGCAACAGCAGAAAATAACCAGTGCAGAGATGTTTTTAGCTTAGCAACATGCTAACATCAGCCTAGTGGAATCAAGTGTTGGGTATTGCACGCTTCTCCTTAGAAACGCTATTTCTGTGCTGCTTACATATTGCAGATCAGGTACTATTGCAGACAGTAAACAGCAAGGCACAAGGTTTTGGAACAGAGCTAGTCAACAACACCAACATTAGAAATACTGTGGCAAAATCACAATCAAGAAGTCCGCACTAAGAGCTAGCAGCACATTGTGCACTTTGTTTTTCTTTTCAGGACTTTTTGCTGTGCCAACATAGACTGCGACTCTCGAACTTAACAAACCACTTGGGAGCCGCAAGACCCCGGCGTTCAGTGTTTGATAGCGTGATTCACTCATGCTGCGTTTCTCATAAATAGCAGGGAAAAGGCCTTGTGTTTCAGATGGCTAACTGAGTAAACCTTGAACAGAAGCCAGTCGCTAAAGCTGAAGAGTAAGTTTGAATTCATATTTGAGACCATCTCAGTTCTGACAGTGGTGTTTGTTAACACATTACTATATTTCTCATCTTCTAAAGCTTATTGAGGACTTGAAGACATGATGAGTCATTAAGTTACCACCCATAATACCTTTAGCTGTTTAGCTTTAGAAGTTAGGGCAAAAAGAGGGCAAAAGGCATCTTTCTCATTCAAAAGTAGTCATCTAATTTGATAAAAACCCTTTGTAAAATATAGCAGCACAAAAAAAAAAAAATCACGGGTTTTACAAGAAAATTATATTTCAGTCTTTCTACTTTAAATGTCATGTTTCATTCATTCAATGTGTTACTTCCCGTTTATGTTTGTGAAATGTTTAAATCTTTTGATTTAAGCTACTGTACACTGAAGTAAACTTAATTTACTGTGTTCATCCAACTGATCCTTGTCCAGTGCATCGCAAATGAACTGACAAAATAAAAGTCCCCCTGTGGTGAAAATAAAGTGTTTAATGTACGTTGCTTATATTTCTATGTAATGTTTTAATATGCAGTTGTACACGGTCTGTTTTGGAAGCAAAAGTTGCTGAGTATTTTCTCTTTAAAACTGCAGTGAACCAAAGACAGTCTCAAAAACACGGTTTGAAATCGCTGGTCTTTCTGACGTCACAAACTACCTTGTAACCAATCGGATCAACGTGTGATCGTCAACGAGTGGATCTCAGAGTGAGTGGAGACGGGGCTAATTTACATATTCATAGAACCACTTATACCCAATGAGGCAAGGGTGTCAAGTTACATTCAAGCTACTGTATGTTAAGGCATGATTAATTATTTTTCAAGGAAAAAGCATTTAAATGTGTCATTTTGGTGAGTTTTAAGGGATAAAATTATTGACAACAGGGGAACTTTAAAAAAAAGTTATCTTTTAGGAAGAACTTTACACACATTATCTTTTGTTTTTTTTAGTGTAGCAATTTCTAATTGGAAATACTATAGTATTATTATTTATTTATTTATTTATTTATTTTTTTGTAGACTCCTAATTGTGCAACTCTGAGATCTTAAAAGCATGAAATTGAAAGAGACAGACAGAGACAGTGAAGTTTGATAAATCTGCGCTGGATCTCTACAAGAAACGTCTCGGTCTTAATCTAGAATCTGCCCTCAGATCGCTTGATATCCTGAAATCCGTCTCATTAATGAACATGTGGGTGGAAAACCTTAGATCTGATCCCTGCTCTGCTCCAATTACTCCTGGGTGGTTTTCAGCTCCCAAAAAATCCAGAGATACCTAAAAACAAGAAACAACAAGTTGCAGTGTGTCGTTGAATCTCTCGCTAATAGCATTCATCGTGATACAGGCCTATTAGATTCCACTTTCAGCCAAATGATCAATAGTTTCAACTCGACCTCCTGAGCGGATAACAAGCCAATCAGATTGTGAAATCTGTCGCAACAACGAGCCGCTCTTCTTAGAGATGACTGATGACTATCAGACCAGGAAGTAACCTGAAGAAAATCAAACGTAATTAAGTCTGGGCATTCGATCGATGTGGGAAATGATCCGCTCTAGCCAACCGTATACCTCTAGGAAAATGTGACCCTTACAGATAATAGGAAACGGATCCTGGGGGACTTAAAGAAATATAACTTGAATATAACGAAGAGGTTTCCGGAAGTCTTTCTGCAGTCTTTAGCTTATGACAGATCCTTGTGAAAAGGTGATTATTCCAGTGAGCCAATTAAAAGAAAAGGGAAGAGTTTTGATCTGCACTCTCAGATCAGAAGTGTGTGTGTGTGTGTGTGTGTGTGGCATTAGACTTAGAGCTGTTCATATATTCTTATTCAGTTCTCATGTGTTTTTTTTGGTTCTACCACCAAGTAAACACTCATATATAGTAGATATTGTTCAAAAGTTTGGGGTTGATAATATTTTTTTTATGAAGTCTCTTCTGCTGACCAAGGCTGCATTTATTTAAGATATTATTACAATTTAAAATAAGTGTTTTGTATTTTCAACTAGGGCTGTCAAATGATTAATCGTGATTAATCGCATCCAAAATAAAAGTTTGTGTTTACATAATATATGTGGGTGCATTGTGTATAATTATTTTGTATATATATAAATACATACATGCATGTATATTTAAGAAAAAAATATTATTTATATATAAAATATTTATATATAATATAAATTATATATAAATCTATATACAGTATTTACATGAAAATATTTCTTAAATATATAAAAGCATGTGTGTGTATTTATATATATAAAATACAGTGCACCCACATATATTATGTAAACACAAACTTTTATTTTGGATGCGATTAATCGCGATTAATCGTTTGACAGCCCTAATTGCAACATATTACTACTATGTCATTTATTCCTGTGATCAAAGCTGGATTTTCAGCATCAATACTCCAATCAGTGTCACATGATCCTTCAGAAATCATGAAAATATGATTATTATTTTGTACACTAGTACAAAATAAAATATCTAAAATATTAAATATTAAACAATAAAATAAAAGACGGACTAAAGACTAAAGACGGACTCTAAGTCCAATTTATGAATGGCTATTTTTCTTTTGATTTGGATGTTTTCAATTAATCGACTAAAGGTCTGAAAAATTTGTGCACATTTGGACTGAATTGGAATCTATACACATACAGTTTCTGGATCTTGAATCTGATTGGCTGAGAGTCTTTTCCAGCCGTGCGATATTCCCCCATTATCAGCACTTGAACCATTTCACCGTTCATAATATCTTTTCGCTTTAATGACTGTCACAGCGGACGAGCAAATACACTATTTTTTACAAATACTACTGTTGTTGTGTCACGGAATGTATTTGTAAGAGTTTTTTATAATATTCAGATGTAATTTCAGCATCTGCGGCCATACTCAACAGACACACCTTGACCTTGGCCATGCTAGATTATTGAAATGAAGTATGGGAAAAATGCTGGCTTGTTTAAACCCAATTTTGGGTTAAATATGGACAAACTCAAACATTGGGTTAAAAATGTAACCTAATGGCTGGGTTTGACCCAAAATTGGGTTAAAGCAAGATTGTGTGCTTCTGTTTAAGAAGTCATAACCTCGTCCAAATGGAACCATACACGTGAAACGGCAAGCGCAAACTTGCTAAAGCAATGCGGCTTCCCTGTCAAGCACAGATCCACTGCTCGTGTGTCGAAGGTCAGTTTACTCCTTTAACCAGCATAAGTGGAAGCCGACCCTGGCAGCTATGAGCCTATTCATAACGCACAAGCCATCGCATAGATAGATGTGTGAGAGATAATTCACATCTCGCTCAAAGGTCACTCTCCGCCTGCAAAATGCCTTTCAATTTCCCAGCAAATGCCAGCGTGCTGAGCAGCTCCTAAAAAGTTTGGCTTTTCGTTCAAACCTCAGCGTAATAGCTCGTGTCCTTTTCATTCAGTCTTCAGAAGGATCCTCAAATCACGCCATTTATTTCCTCAATGCGGGGTTACTGTTTTTTGCTCCAGTGTCGTCTTAACTACAGCTATTTTGGATCATGATTCTCCATCAAAACCTCACAAACTTCTGCCGATGACTTCCCTGTTGTCTGAATTACATAATATTTGGGCTGAGGAGAGAGGTTCCCCTGATGGTCCTTGCAGTAATTCTGCTTATATAAAAGCCAAAGCGTGAAATGTGCTTTCTCTGCTATCGTTGCTAATTCCTCTGCCACATGATTAGGTGCTAAAAAGAGCGTAATTGCTCCGATAATGAGCACGGTTCTATTGAAAATGGTGCACAAATGTCAAAGATGGCACATAATCTGCTATTAGCACTAGCAGTCAGAGTTCTGGATTCCTCGTGATGACGAGACTCTGGATGTGCACTTATTTCAATAAATTACCCATGGAATATTATAGGACTGTGGTTGTTTTCACATTGACAACTGTACGACTCCCACCTCAAGAAATCAGATATTTCAATCTGATGAAGGAAAGCGAAGAGGGTCATGCAGAAGATCACTTTTGTTTGACTGGCACGTCTTTGGTTTTATAGACTCTAAAAAAAAGAGGTAATACTTTGTTACTTCAGGCCCATTAAGTAATATGAACAGATACATGTATTAGAAAATTTTACAAATAAATGTAAAAGGGCTACTGATCGATGCAACTAGATTCCACCAAAAAAAAAACATTAAAGGGATACTCCACTTTTTTGAAGAATATCAGTAACCAGACAGTATCGGGTCCCATTGACTTCCATGGTATATATATATTTTTGTTCCTACTATGGAAGTTAATGGGACCAGAAACTGTCTGGTTACTGATATTCTTCAAAATATCAGAAAATCAGCTGAATGGATTAGAAAATGGTAAAGTCAACTGTAGTTGTAAAATGAGTGGAGTATCCCTTTAAATAACACAAATAAAGTTAAATAATTAATAATATTAAAAATAAAGCTTGAAAATGCACAAAAAATGAACAGATAAAATGAATAAATGTGAAAATAAATTCATATATACTGTATATATATACAGACACTATATATATACATATATATGTATAAATAAATGCACATAAAATAATGCATGTAAAATAAACAAATAAATAAAGTGCATACAAAATAAATTAAAAACTTAAATGCAAAAATGCATAAATAAATAAAAGTAAACCGATGAATATAAACTAAATCAAATGCAAAAGATAAATCCAAACGATTCATAAATAAAAATAAAAATGCAAATAAAATAATGCATGCAAAATAAACAAATAAATAAAGTGCATACAAAATAAATTAAAAACTTAAATGCAAAAATGCATAAATAAAAAAAAGTAAACCGATGCATATAAACTAAATCAAATGCATATAAAATAAACATTTTTATAATATAATATAATATAATATAATATAATATTGAATGTGCAGGCTATTTTCTATTTTCTCAGTTGCTTAAAAGGTTGTTTTCCCCATTCTGAGGAAACATAATTTTCAGCCAGACAGTCACTGAAGCCAATTATTAATGGACTAATACAAGAAAAACACATTAACAACTCAAAATAAAGGCATGTTCCACTGGGTGAAAAACACAATGTTCTCTATATGAAAGGACAATGCTGAATCATTCATCTATTTTTACCAAAATAACAAACAGCTATGTTCACTTATTTTTACTAAAACATTTCAATTGAAAATTGCAAATGTTTTGAGTGATGATGGGAAAGAATCAGTGAATCAATTAGTTGAAATGAACAAATGAAAGTGCAACTAAGATCACAGATATATTATGAATATTCAAATCATTCGCCCCATAGTTATTGAATACGGGCTCTCCTTTGAAGGGTTTCGAATGGCTATACTGATTTCCTTTTTGATGACTGACAGTAACGATGGTACTTTGATGGAAATTATAGTAATAATGATGTCTTTTTGTGAGGGTCGTGTTGACCAGCTAAGATCTGCACGAGAGTTTATTATATCTATGGGTCACATTTCTGACATCCATTGAGGAAACACAAAGCTAACAAGATGCAACTGAACCTTTGAGTTGGACTCTGAAAAGCCATTTTCTGAGTCTCCAGGAGTCGTGAATGTGTACCGGGAGGAGGTCGGGACCGGGTCTGTATTGTGCACCTGGTAAAGGCATTATTAAGCCGTCACGACAGGGGCCCGTGTGGCATTTAGTGAGCAGAGGTCTTGCTGAGCCCATATTATCTGTAAAACATAGCGAGAGAAAGTTTGTGTTAGAGAGAAATGCTTATAAAGACTTGGTACCAAACAGAAATGACATGTAATATTAACCTTTAAGACTCTCATTGGCCCATGGGTTTCATTTCTAATCACATTTATTCTTCTACTATTCCCCATCTTTTCTACAAGTTATCAGGCTTGAAACATCATTATGCCTTTTTTACGAGGAGACACATTTCTTACCGGTTGGCTTTTACTGTATTTCCTCAAAGAGGTTCAGGAGTCGAGAGAAATGTTAAATGTTAAAGGAAGAGACAGAACTCAAACCAATACGGTAACAGCTTTAAATGTGCATTTGTTTTCACAAGTGACCAGTCAGACAGACTGATTGTGATGGCTTACAGTGCAAATGCGTAAATATCTCTAAGTTCTGCTAATGATTATTAATGATCTCATTGTAAGTTATACTGAATGTCATCCCACTTTTGAGATACAGAAGCAGATTTATGCTCATATATTTAACACCGCACTGTAAAAAATATTTTCAAGATTTGTTATCACAACATTTTTTCTTTTGTCAAATCAACTTTATAATAATTTATTTAGTTGCGATAACTTATTATTTTGAGTTTCTGATGGTTGAATTAATCTCCTTCATTGTATTAACTCACTTTTTCCAGTTCAATCAACTTAAAATTTTAAGGCAACCAGGTTATTTACTTTTTTAAGTTAAACCATCAATATTTTTTACAGTGTTAGTAATCACAACATTTTTTCTTTTGTCAAATCAACTTAAATAATTTATTTAGTTCAGATAACATATAATTTTGAGTTTCTGATGGTTAAATTAATCTCCTTCATTGTGTTAACTCACTTTTTCCAGTTCAATGAACTTAAAATTTTAAGGCAACCAGGTTACTTACTTTTTTAAGATAAACCATCAATATTTTTTTACAGTGCATCTTTAAAAATGTTGATAAATAAATGGTCTATGTGATGTATTGATTGTGTTTTAATAAAGCCTTTGCTTAGCAGATGTTTAAAATATAAATCTTTGAAATAAAATAGTTATGAGAACAATTTCAATAGCACATTAAATGGCTATTTTTCTGCATAAAAAGCTGCACAATATGTTGTGTAGTATGTGTACACTGTGTGTGTGTCATTTTTTGTTATATACAATTAATTTTAATGATTTATTATGAATATGTATACATATAGTACTTACATGCATATATTTATATATATATATATATATATATATATAGTTGTATCCATTACTTTGTCTTAATTGGTCTCTTTACTAATAAATAAATAATCCAGAGACATGCGATCTTACAGGGAACACACACATTTGTGCCAGATGAACACAAACGCCTGATGTTTTTGTGGTTTTAAAAGCAGTCCCCATCTGTCACTGTTGTTTCACACACACTCGCTGCGTTTCGTCTTTCTGTCGTAAACAGACAGAGACGTAACCAAAGAAAGTTTAGCACATCTCCAATCTCCCATGAAATCCCATGATGAGTCGTGTTTCCCTGCAAAACACAATGTTATTAACAGAAGATTACTTTAGAATTGAATGCAAAGGATATAAATGAAAATAACCAGAAATGAGGACGGAGAACTGTCAAGAGACGTTCCTGCATTTCCAGTCGTCTTTCTAATGTCTCCATCGAAACAGGATTAATGTTGTTAAACTAAACATACAGCCAGAAACGCTTTAGACGAGGCACTAACTAAAGATGTACTTAAGGATATTTATGTGATTAGTTAGCAGTAAAACAAACACATCGTGTGCAATAGCAGCAAAACTGATGTCGTTATCACAGCATCAAACATCTGGTGTAGAAATAAGCTGAGTTTAGGACAACATGCGAGCGGGGAAGCCGTCAGTACATCATTCAGGACTCTTTTGATATTGTGCATCCGAGAGAGACGGAGAGAGAGAGGAAGTCCTCAAGCTCTCCATGTGAGCTTTCTTCCAACAATGCCATCAGTTCCCGCTACATGCCTGTTTCCATGGAAACCCTTCAGATATAGCAGGTGAAGATCAGGATAGGGAAATATCATGAGTTACGAGAGGATGGGTGTAGGTGCTGTTGTACAGTTGCTAGGGTGTTCTGGGTGGTTTCTAGGGTGTTGCCAAGCAGAGAAATTCTAATAGTTTATTAATAAAGGTAAATCTCATACTATGGTCTTGGGTACAAAGTGTCTGTTTAAACTAAAATAGAATCATCCAACCATAATGTGTAACGATGGCACATACTTGCGAGATCAAATGAAATATTTGGGCTTAACCCTCGAGGCGCCATGGTTACATTTTCTCGACAAGATGCGGCACAGAATAAAATGCCCTATTTTGTCAAATTTGGTGTCAAATTTTGTTCAACCTCCACTCCACTAGATGGCAGACATGTCCCCGACTCAAAAAAACGTCATGCTTCTATGCTAAATGTTTGAGTTATGCCTGGTTGAGATTACACAATTTTTTTGTCTGTTACGATAGTCACTGTGTCAGATTACGCGATTTTGGCTCCTAAAATCTTGTCGTGTTGTGGACAAGACACATGTCAGACTACACGTTACTTCCTGACCAGTCATCGCATGTCGTGTTTAACGGCGCGCGTGATAACATCGAGAAGGCGAAACTCGAAGCGAGTGAGTTCCTGGATTGCTCGGCATTGCCTTTTCAGCGTGAGAAATACGTGTGTGTGAACTGGTTGAATTGCGTGTCTCACGGCCATTGCGTGAGACTTGAGAACCCTGCTCGAAGAGGACAGGCTGTCAATCCTCCAAAGAGAACTTGAGGTAAAATATTGTTTTCTTATATATTTTTATTTCTAGTTTTAATGTTAGCACCATCGTCTCTCTTTCGTTTTGTCTTTTTAGAAAGTTGTATACGGAAAAGCTTGTGCTCCTATTGGTCAACCTCATACATGTGACGGAACCGTCGTGGACGACGGTTAAAAAAATTAAACATGCTAGTCTTTTTGTCGTGATGTCACGAAGCATCGCAGACGCGACGTAGGTTGTCGCCCACGACACACTATACGAGATGATATGATCGAATCTTGCATCCCGACGCCCGTTGTCGTTTACGAATCCCCACGACACCCTACGTCAAACGGATCGTGCCAAAATCGGGCTAAAATCGTGTAATCTGAACCGAGCATTAGAGTGCAAAATGTAATACGCTTCGTGTCATCCTTAATATTTCTCTAATTTACAGAAAGTCTCTATCTTTTATCCGTTTTAAGATATAGCCTTTCGAAATTAAGATATCAAAATTGAACGTTTTAGGAAAAAACCTCTGCCGCCTAAAGGGTTAAGGCTGTCAAACTTACTTTTAAACCTCACATTGACTATATAATTCGTAATATTGAGTTTGGAAAGGAGTGTATTGTATCAATCTGAAAAAACGTTTTACATTTAATGTTAGAAAAAAAAACTTGCTTAGCAACTTATATTACCATTTTTGATTATGTAGTTTATCAAAGTGCATCATCTTTTGCTCTTACTACAGCTTACAATGAATTGTGCAGATTTGTTATTGATATACACCATTGTAATATATATGAATATGATTTACTCCAATGGTCTCAATATTAGAAGGCATCCTCACTGGCTACAATCTATTTTCAAATCTGTACATTTTAATTACCCAAATAATTTGCATCAGTATATTGCAATTAAGACATTCCTCACATTAATTGTTTTCTTATTCCTTTAGAAAGTTTTGGGAAAGAAATGCTCCTGTACAATCTACCCATGAATGTACGATCTTTGACTTGTTTAAAATGGTTTGCTTCTTTATTTTAAAACTAGTAATTGCTTCAGATGATATATCTATTAAAGCTAGGCAAATGTTGTATGTGTTAATTTTGTAGTGGTGTGTTTTTTGTTTTGAATGAGGTGATTTTCAATTTCATTTGCTGATGAGAATGAATTTTTTTCTTTCTGAAAATGTAACTTAAGGATGCTTGCCTTCATAAACAATTGTTATGAAGTAATGAATCATAACAGTCCTATTATCATCCAATTATCAAATCATCAGGCTGCATGTTCAGAGAACATGTAGGGCAGATGTTTGTCATGGAAATCTGACCTACAGTACATCTAAATATCCCTCACAGTCCCACCCCTGGGATCATCATCACACGCTGAAGAACACACACAAGTGAGACAGCAGGAATATTCATCGTGCCGGTAAACGCACTTCAAAAGGACGTCATTTTGTGACTGTAAAATGACTAATGCCAGATCCACAACGCCTCAGAGTGGGTGTTTGGCGGATGCTAGCGGTTTAACAGTCACTATATCAGTTAAAACTCTCACTTTCTCTCCTTATGTCTGATTTGGGCACTGACCGGTCCAGATGGACAAGCTTGTTGGAAGCAACGGTCAGTGTGGCCTGCCGGGATGATGATATTAGTCTCTTGATCAAGAACAAGCCGCCACTACGATCATTTCCCCTGCTCTTTCTCTTCAAAGCTTCACATGGTTTCAGCTCTTTGTTGGACAGATCTGATTGCAGGTAGTTCGTAAGTGCAGAAGTATTCCCCCAAACTTACGGATCCGCTTTACTCTGGGTCTCTGCCAGCTGATAGCAGCGAGGTTGCTATGGAAACAGACAGGACTTATCGTGGAGGAGGGGATGCGCTTTATCACCAAGTGTCAGGCTGGAAAGTCCAAATATATTTACTGCAAACCATTATATGTTTTAACTCAGCAGAAACGGACAAGTAGGATTTCCCTTGAAATGCCATCTGAGCAACCTCACCAAACACCTCAAGAACATGTTCAGGTCACATTTCACCCCGAAATATAAATTATGTTGGACATAAAAGATAAAGTCTTTAAATAAAGTGACATTAAAGCACTTTTCCATATTCTTGTCACTGTAATTGAGTGACAGATATTATATATTTATACACTCACACACATACTTAATATATTATATAATATAATATTATTTTATATTATTATTATAAAAAGTCTTGTTACTGTGCATGACTATATATATATATATATATACACACACACAGTAACAATACATGTAATTATAATAATATAATTTAAATGTTCAAATAAAATATATTCTAGTGATACAAATCACAGAGTACTAGTAATTACTGGACATTTTTTAATCATAATCTTTTTCTTTTTACATTTTATATGTAAAATGCACGTAATTACAGTAATTACACACACACATACATAGAGAGAGTGAGAGTGATAGAAAGAGAGACAGTATAATAATATAAATGCTTATCATTTCAATAAAATATATTTTAAAGTGATACAAATCAAATTACAAACTTTTCCCGAGTCAATTCGTTCATTTTGTTCGTTGAATGAACCACATGACACGAAAAAAGATTCGTTCATTTTGATGAACGAGTTCAAACACGAGAGTCGCGAAAGCGCATCACAGAACAGAGCAAGGCGACCATTTGGGCTTATAAAACTTAAACTTTGTTATTTTTTTTAATGAGCGATCGTTTCACTTGATAAGACCCTTATTATCGTCTGGAATCGTTTAAAGCCCTTTGAACAGTTTGCAGTTGAACCGTTTGGTTACCAGTAAAGTCCATTATATGGAGAAAAATGCTGGAATGTTTTCATCAAAAACCTTAATTTCTTTTTTCGACTGAAGACAGAATGACATGGACATCTTGGATGACATGGGGGTGAGTAAATTATCAGCAAAAGTTTTTTTTTAAAAGTGAACTACTCCTTTAAAGGAGAACTGGTTCGTGGTTCAACTTATCGAGACTGTTTTCCCAAGATGGCTCCTTTCTGTATACATGAACTGGACTGTCTTTATAACTTATCTTCTTATTGAACGGTCTGTAAACTTACAAAGTTCTCAATGCTTCGTTTTGCATGTAAGGACCCTCATTATGTTACTGTGTTAGTGTGGGGCTATTTTGAGCCTTGTTAGTGGTATAAACTAGCGTTTTCTTTTTACTTAGTAAATGCCCCCATTACTAGCGTTATTCGCTAAACAGTTTTTAGAGATATTCGACTAGGTACCAATGTTTTATTAGACCAAAGGTTAATTTTGCGCCTGAGTTCTCCTTTAAATGTGACCCGAGCGTGTTTTTTTTTACAGCTCACCCATTCGCGACTTGTTTTCCCCAAATTCATTCCTGTCCAATTCCGGGTATTGCTGCTAAATGAATGGGTTTTGACGACTATTCAAGATCAGCCTGTTCTAAACTCTCTCTAACCCCTAACCTCTAATTGTTTGAGTGCTCTGTTTAAGGTTTTCTCTTCCTAAACCTACTTGAATGTTTGTTTGCTGATAACATCAATGTGTGTGTGCGCGCACTTGCAAATGACTAAAAGGCACAGAGC